ATATTGAGAAATTTGTAAATGTTATTATTTGAAGACTATTGAAAATGAGTTTTGATGTATTCACATCAAATATTGAAATGAAATACAAGAGGATTGAATGACAAAAATGATGCATTATCTATTATAAAATAGTACGTACATGATCACAAATATTATTAATTTTTAAATTCACAAATTGAATATTTTGAAAGATAAACTAAACTGAAGGAACAGGCTGTCAACACTCTCATCTCACTGCCATGGTCCATTGGAGGCATACTAATCCTGTGTCAAAGCTTTCTGCCACATTGATCAAAATGCATGAATATTGAAGCAGGTTCAATTTGATTTCACACCACAGTGACTGCAAACTCTATCAGGTGAATGATTAATTTTAAAATACAAAGAAACATAGAAATAAATTCAGACAAATTTGGAAATCTGTGCGAAACACAACCACAAATCTAATAAGGCTTCCCATGCATGATATCATTACAGCTGCCATGGTAACAAGATGTAATGTATAATTGAATAATTTGGATCATCTGTAAATATTGGGATGAAGATATAAATATTACTACAGCTGTGGGTTGTATTTGAGACTTATTACTATTTAGTTCATCAATGAGATACATTACCATATTTGTTCTATTACAACGCCCATCTCCAACATAAGCCAAAAAGTACATTTATTTTATGTTGGGTCATTAATATGACTTATTTTGTCTTTTATGTAAGCACATGCACTACCGGTACTAATAGAGCAAATAAGGTATTATATTTATTTTCTTTTTTTTCTTCTCAACTGCAATCATGTGAATGCTTAGATGGTATCTTTATGTAAATAAGAATACGGGTATCTTACATAACACAAGTCATCAACTGTAAACTATCGATAATTACCAGCCGGAATTTAGAGAGGTTTTGATTTGAAAATTAATCAGTAAAAATAGGGTAAGAAAGCATTTAATTATGCTCAGTTTAAAAATTAATGAAAATAAAAACATGTCAGAATGTGTTGTGTAACATTTCAGTGTTATAAGTCAGAATGTGTTTAGTACCCTGTCATTGTGTTACATGCTGAGACTATGACAAAACCAATTGCAAACAATAGACAGATCCTATATTCATTTACAAGTAAACCTTTTTGAAACCATCCAGGCGCCTTATTTTAATGTATGCAGCAGAAATTTGGGGAGTAAAGTCAAGGCAAGAACACAGAGACAAAACAAGTATTGAAAAACACCATTTATGTTTTTGTCGTAAACTGTTCAGTGTCAACAATAAACCAATCAACATTGATAGCAGATGAAAATCAGTAACTTACACTTGCTTGTTAATATTAAATGGCAAGGAATTGAACAATGACCCCACTAGCTTTGTTTATGATGCTCTAAAAGACAGCAATACTACGATTTATGGACTCTAAGGTACTTTGCTAACATTAAAAAAAATTCAGAAATCATGCAAGAAGAGTTAGGTTACTGTAATGTTCAAAATTCTGAAATAAAAATATATGATCACCGAACTTTGTTTTTCACAAAACCTACATCAAAAATTACATGGAATCCTATGAAAAATGTCCCAAAATGTTTTTTTGGAAACAAATCCTTCTTTCTCTGAATAAAATTTAAATATGAATGACATTCATGTATGTGATTTTTTGAATGATTTAATGTGATCTATTTTGTTCATGTTTTAAACCTTGAAACAATTTGTAAAAATTATAATTTTCTCAATCTGGACAAAATTAAAGTTGATGAATTCCATCATTATGTTAAAGATTTTTTTAGGAAAAGCAGTGGAACATGGACAATAATAGAATTGATTCTAAATTAAGAACTTGCTGGCAAACTGTTAAAGATAGAGATTGCTTCATACACATTCAATTATTATATTTTGGCTAAAATCAGACTCAATGCACGTAACTACAAGTTAAACGAGGTAGACATCAGAGGTCGAAACTTTACATTGAAGAAAGAAAATGTAATTACAACAACCAATTACATGTAGAAGATTAACTGCATTTTTTCACAGATTGTAACATCATGAATGCAAATTGCAGACAAACATTAAAAGCAGTCTGTCATTTCACTAAAACAGCATTTTCTATTAAAGACAAAAACGGTCAGAAAACTGATCCCCTTTAGAGATTTTGTTGTCTCTATTTTATATCTTTATTTACATTTTTCCTGTTCAGCTGTGATAAAGTTTAACTCATATTATCCTAATTTGATGATAGCGATATAAGCAGGCTATAGAAATCAGAGAGATAATTATTTCATACTTTTTAATCTATTTAATAGTGATCCAAAATTACCCTTTTGGAACTAAATGAATAAACACAGGGTGAAATGTCATGTGACCTGAACTGTCATGTTATTATAATAGCATGCAAATGTTGCTTGACTAAAAATTCACTTTCCATCTACCAAGGTCATGTTTGCATATGTATGACATAAACATTTTATACCATGTGCGTTCATATCATACAACAAAGGTCATTCAAGCTCAATATTAAATGCCTTAACCCTTATCCTGTCAGCCTCATGCACTTTTACATGGATTTGACCAGATAAAAGTTAAGAAAATTGACGAAAAATGCTTCTTTAAGATAGAATCAGGAATCCATGTAGAAGAGAGAAGATGTGAACACTGCCACCAGGTTGAAGATAAAGTGATGCAGTGTAAACTTTACAATGATGGTAGATATGACTTAGCAAATAATATTTTTCTCATTTCACAAAACAAAATGACTATAAGAACTGCATCTAAAAAATCAATACATTTTAAGAATTTCAAAAAAAAATGCCATATTTTTCTTTTTTGAATATTGGTGCGACATTTTAAACATTTTTCAAAAAATTTATTTGTTAATTTTGAACTACAATTCTTGAGCAATTTCTTTCAAAAGTTGACTTTGATTCTCAAATTAATATTCTATTGCCCAAACATGTTTTGTTATATGAATGTAGACTGAATCTCTCAACCATCTTAAATATTAAATGATTACACTTTCTCATAAATGGTTGTAGTGATACATGTACTAATCTTATCAGAGATTTCAATTGTTTATTCAAACTCTACTCTCGCTGGTAAAATATTATTCCAGTTTTACTTGAATTTGAAAGCATTTATTTCTGATAACATTCATCTCAAACAATATTTATCAGTTTAATATAAAGCATTAGAAACAAATGAATGACTAATGAACACAAGCTGGTATAAAAGATTATTGTTTTGTTTTGTCCTTCATTACACTATATGCAGACTTCCAAATGAAAAGTTGATGCAACTTCCATGTTAAATGGTTTAAAATATTCTGCAGAAAGAAATTCATTATTTTATTCCTAAAAAAAAATCTGAACATCACAACAGTACAAATCCCTCAGAAAGAGAATGTAAAACCAAGTGAATTACATATTAATAGGTAAAAGCCACTAGAAAATGACAATGAATAAGTGAGTACCAGTATTATTCTATTTTTATGCACTGTGACAAAGATAGAGGTATGTGTATAAAATAAAACAGGTGACTAAGTAGAGAGCAACACGGACATGGAATGAAGTTATTGGAAAACAATTATAAAATTGATGAAAAAAAAACTACTAATATTTTGGGGTTAGAAAGCAGCAACACAATGACGTTGAAGTTAATAACAATAGAATATTTGGGTCTATAAATTTCTGCAGTCAATCTATGACAAACTTTTTACTGAGACTTGTATTATAAAATTATGCATTACTGCCCTCAAACAATCATTTACAGTTTTAAATAGAGATCAAAATCAGTAATCAATATCAACATGATTCAATGAATAGATATAGTTCAATGTTGATAATAATTTAATAAAGTATTTTTTCTTATCATGCAAGGAATTTCATATAAAGTACTTAATAATTTGCATAATTTAGTCAGAATGAATTTAAATGAATACAACAAAAGACTCATTAACAAACAATGAGAGGTACAATATAACATCAAAATTATTTGCCATCTGTTGTAAATGCTGCCCTAACCTAGTTTAGTTTTAAATGTACATGGAAATAATTTGAATACAAATATCACGTAACTTGTCAATGTAGAATTGATATGATGTACATCTATTACATTTAAACGAGTTTAATCCAATTTTTACAATAATTATTTCACATCCATAAAAGAACATTTACAAAATATTTCAACTTTTGTTTATAATGTTCCAATGCAAGATTCCTTTTTAGAACTAGAAGCTAAATTTTAAAATGTATGTACTGTACTAGTACATTTACGTATCGGCCATGTTAATTTCTCATCCGGTATCCGGCAAGATGTTGAAGATATTTGCCACACATACAGTGATACATTACTGGAAAAATAAGTTCTTATTTTACATTGGTAATTGTTTGTAATAACTACTTACCTGATCTGGTATCGAACGCGACAACGAAGATAGATACAATATGGTCCTGCTCTGTCAGATCGCACATAGAATTACTAGCGCTGATGTTAATCGTGTCGTTCTCATTTTGTCCCGCTGTGCCAATCGGAACGGCAAGTCCTGATTCCTGTAAGTATAGTTCTTTGATTTTCTCCCTGGGATCATGGTACTGATTTGCCAGTTCCTCTTCGATGTTCACTAAAAGAGGAGCTTTGTCACCGCTCTCCGCCATCTTTGTTGTTCGAAATTTTGCCGATTTCGCTTTGACGTGACCTTTGACATTATATTCCTAGCCGGCGTGAAGAAGAAAGAGGGCGTGCTATGTTGCCCGAAAGTTCGTGATAAAGTTAACCTAAGATTCGAATTTGTAAAGAAGCTCGGGTTCAAATGAATGACAGTCTTAAGTGTTATAGACAGTTCCCTTCGTGAAAATATTTGCTAAAAATTGTTTCAATGTAATTTATTTGCTCATGTTGTACATGGCGAACCCACTCTTAATAGATAGAATCCCAAACTTTGAAGCCGACAAACTGAATACGTAAATAACGTCAGCGTTACGCAAGGTCGAGATTCTAGTAACTTGATTGTTGTGGGACCCCTACCCAGATTAACCAGCACAAAGAGCTTTACTAGTGAAGATTCATTTTGGTTCACGGTCAGCTTACAGTCTTCATTCCTTTTACTGATATGGCTTCCCCGTGTCAACAGGCCGCTGCCATGGGCGAGTATCAACCGAGACTACACTGGGGACTGGACCCAGTACATTGTAGTTCTGTTAAGTTTTACATCAAAGACGTTCTAGAAATGTCTGAATATCCCACGTGTCCTGGAGCATATGCTTATTTAAACCACCCAGTCATAAAAGTGGATATCATGGGATATGTAGTGGAAGTTGATGAAAAAACACGTTTCATTTCGTACAGTATTGACGATGGTACAGGCGCCATCAGATGTGTGTGCTGGAAACCCAAACAAACGTCATCAGCCGACATGCGATTTGACGAAACATTCAAAGTTTACTGTGCGTCAAATGATGTAAGTTTTAACAATTCTATTTCTACTTTAGAATGTCTAAACGAATTAGCAAATTCTGTTAGTGAGAGCAAGAGTGAACATGTTTTAAAGTTGGGCGACTTTGTTCATATTCGAGGAAAAGTCAAGGAATACAAGAAAGTGCGAGATATTAGTGTGTCTTACTCTAAGAAGATCGATGACCCAACTGGCAGTATCGAGATGGCAAGAATGCTTGAACTACCAACTCTGTATGAAAATGTTTACGACAAGCCGTTTTTGCTGCCACGCGAACTGGCAGAAGAAATAGAGTCACTGAAAGAAGAAAGACAAACCGGTCTTAAAACTGAAGAGAGAATTGTCCGGGAATTGCAAGAGAAAGTGATAAACTTTCTGAAAATAAATAACATTAATAGTTTTGAAATAACTGACTTACAGACGGTATCTGATTTAATTGATATAGCCCAACAGCCTTGTAAGGAATACACCCAAATCACAGAAACGTCTATGAGAAAAAAAGCCACTGCAACACAAATACACACAATCTTCAAAAAAGTGGTTCATGTTTTGGAAGAGTTGGGTATTGCATACAAAGAGTCCTATAAATATAAAGTTGTTCAAGATGGAGATCATTTAGAGAAGACTATTGTGAATATTATTCAACAAGATTCTCAAAAACCCAAATATAAAGAGAAAGGATGCCATTATATGCATGTGGTGGATTGTTTACACCAATATCAACAATACAAGAAAGTAACCATGACAACTGTACTCCAAATTCTAGATAAGTTGGAGAGTCAGAGTGACGTAATCAGTACCTCACACAGACACTATATTGCATTCTCTAACAGTTCTTAAGTTTGTTACATTTAACACTACAGTCCACCGACTTAGAATAAAATACGTTAGTTAAAATAAAATTAGTTTTAGTCACAGTGGCTGCCAGAAATAGTTTTTTTTCTTAGCTAAGACACATGATGCCATATTAACTAACACTCATTGCGACCACATGCGTTAAAATGTTGTGTAAATATACAAAACATTTGACCCACATATATACAAGTATTTACATGTTGCTACACACTGTATGCAATCAATATGGGTAGATTAGATGTTTTTAAAAGATAAATCTTCTCAGAATTATTAGTTTGTAATTACATACAGTAATTTGTCATAGCCAATTTGTTATTGGCAACTAGCAACTAGAGTTAGTGAAACCCAGAATGATGTTCATTATACCATCTTTTTTAACTTATTTAGTAATGACCGTTAGAAACCATCTGATGTATCAGAGAATTTTGTTAGATCAGGACCCTGAACATCTAGGTAAACTATTAAAAGTTGATTGGACTAATGATTAGAATAATTAACTGCAAACCAAGCGAGAGACTGAAATTTTTAAAAAATGTTTGAAAATTGTGACATTTGTAGCAGTGAACAACCGGTAGTCACCTATTCTGCATCTTGAATTTTCAAGGTGAATGTTCTGGCGAAGCACTCCACTATTGGTTGTAGAGAGAGGAATGTCCGAACGGAACAACACCGTGCAGGCGAATGATGCCTATTCTGATGTATGGCATTTTTACTTAAACTTGGCTTGCAGGTGTAATGTTTATTAAACAAGTTTTTTTGCCTACTGAACCAGTAGTACTGATCATTGTTGAACTTCAGATGAAAGTAAGTAGACTTAATCAGTGCGCTTACTTTTTTTTATTTTCTATAATCATTCCTAAATACGAGTAGCACAAAATGATTAGATTGACCCAATCCCAGAATTCAAGTTTTGAAAACTATTGCATGTCCACCTGGCAAGCACAAGTGCAATGTGCACACTCAAAATATAAAACACTTTCAAAAACTTGTATTTGAAAAAAGAACATTTATTTATATGTACCATTATTAAAACTAAATGAAAAGTGGCTCTATAATCTAGAACCTGTGAAAACACCTCAAATATTTGTAAATTTGAGAGGGTACCTGCCTGCCTGGGAAATATGAGAGCAATTCAGCTGTATAAAGGTTGAATAAAAAGTGAAATTGCTGATGACAAACTATCTAAGTATTAACCTAAATAACTGCACTGTCAAATTTATCAGCATAAATGTATTGTCTTGTACAGTGTTCTGGCGATCATGTGCGAGTTATCAAACATTAGTATTTTATTGCAAATAGAGTGGAACCAAGCATAGATTGTTGTTCAGTGTATGACTCAGATGTCTGCAAACATGTGCATATAATACAAAATGGTAAGCTGAGTTGTGATTCCCCAAAACATTTTTTCTCACTGAACAAATCACTTGTAAACAGATGTTTACAGTAATATACCGTATACATGTTTAACACTGTCTGTTAATATACATGTTCAATCAATCACATAACATGATGTTTTAGTATCATTTTTTTTAATCAACTTTTTAAACTCTGAATTTTTCAGTGATCCCACGAAAATTTAGTTTCTGCACAAAGCCACTGCAAACAGATTTCAACACCATGGCAGTTATAAGTATGTCTGTCGCTACATGTATTCTAAATTGTTTTCACTTTTTTGTCTAAATCGAACAAATCCTGAATCATAATACATAAAGGTTGAGTGACAACATTGGTGTACAGACCTAATGAAATGAACACTGAGATATATAAACCTGCATATTAGTAATTCCTTGATTTAGCTTTGTTTTTGTAATCACATTGATACAACAGACTAATTTATTTTTCAACCAAAAACGTTCTGTATAGTTCTTCATCTTCTTTCAGTTGAAACTGTGGAACAAAGTTAACTTGCACAATCTCATTAAAACCTTCATCCAGGGTTGGTTCTTTGAATTTATTTCGATAACTGTATAAAACCATGTCATTGATTACATGGTCTTTACCAACACCAGAGAGTTCTCGAAACTGAAAAATATGAAAAGGCACTTTAATCTCTAAATATTTACGGTAAATACAGTATATACGTAAGGCAAAGACAAAAAAACACATGTTTTTGGTTTTTATACACATCAGTTAAAATGTGTGCATCTTACCTTTTTTAGTTTTCTCAGAATTTTAGAAAGAACAAGAAAAATTTTGCTGCAAAAGCAATCAAAGAAAGCTTAGAAAGAACTCCCGTGTTGGAGTATTGGAGACACATTAAAAATTAATTCAAAATTACTTGAACTTGAGATATTGATGGAAATGCAGAAAACTAATTATGCAAATAAGGTAACTAATATGAACACATTTAAGCGTAAAACTAATAAGGTCTGCGCAATGTAAAAGTAATAAGATCTGCGTAATGTAATATCTATGTACCAAGTTTCATTGAAATGTGATTAGAACCAAAAAATTATTAATTATTGTGCTAATTAAGAGAATTAATATGAACAGATTTTAACCCAAAATTAATCAGGCTGTCTATTGTCCTAGAGCATTTATGTACCAAGTTTTATTCAAATGTGATGATCAATACTTGAGATATCAGTATTAATTAATTTATTAATTATGTTAATTAGGTGATTAAGAAGCATAAATATTTACCAAAACTAATATGGTGTATAGTCCTACACATGTAGGTTCATTGAAATGTGATGAGCACTCTTTAAAAGTTTCATTAAAATTCAATGAGTGGTTCTTAGGACAAATTAACTAATTAAGCAAATTTAGTAGTTAATATGCACAATAATTTATCCTAAAATTAATCAAGTCTCTGCATAGTCCTAGAAGATCTATGTCGCAAGTCTCATTGAAATGTGATGATTAGTACTTGAGATATCAGGTGAAGGGCTGAAAATTAACTAATTATGCTAATAAGGTGATTAATATGCACAAATATTTCTCCAAAAACTAATTAGTCTCTGCACAGTCCTCAAGTAACTATGTACCATGTTTTATTGAAATGTGTTCATTACTACTTGAAATATCAATAGCTGAAAATTAATTAATTATGCAAATTAGGTAATTAATATGTACTGATATTACCCTAAAAACTATCTGTGCAGTCTCATATGACATCTATGTACCAAGTTTTATTGAAATGTTATGATTAGTACTTGAGATATCAGTGGAAAAGCCGAAAATGGATTAATCATTATGCAAATTAGGTAATTAATATAAACAGATTTTTACCCAAACTATGAAATCTG